GCAGGAAATCGAAGTCTTTCTGGAGAACTGTTGGTAATGCGCGTCTCTACAGGTACTATACATGACACTGCTTTTTGCAGTTATATTAAAAAATACACTGTTACTTTTACCAATATTTTCACTGAATTTTTTAATATTTACATCGCTTCTGACATCACAGTAGATAACATCACAGCAGAAAGCTTTCCATCACTGCCAATTTCTTAAACAATAATTGTGTCACTGTTGATATCAACCAATGGGGAAGTCACTGTTCAAACCGTCATCACTGTATCCACCACTGGCAGTAGGTCACAGTGTCGCTACCAGTAATCTGGTGGTCACTGTACCTCACTCCACCCAGGTACTGTTACAGCACGGTACTGAAGATGTTATATCTGGAGCACTCAGGAGTTACACGTAACGCACCTGGCGTTACCGTCACTCCTACAGACACCTGGCGTTACCGTCACTCCTACAGACACCTGGCGTTACGGTCACTCCTACAGACACCTGGCGTTACGGTCACTCCTACAGACACCTGGCGTTACGGTCACTCCTACAGACACCTGGCGTTACGGTCACTCCTACAGACACCTGGCGTTACGGTCACTCCTACAGACACCTGGCGTTACGGTCACTCCTACAGACACCTGGCGTTACGGTCACTCCTACAGACACCTGGCGTTACGGTCACTCCTACAGACACCTGGCGTTACGGTCACTCCTACAGACACCTGGCGTTACGGTCACTCCTACAGACACCTGGCGTTACGGTCACTCCTACAGACACCTGGCGTTACGGTCACTCATACTGACACCTGGCGTTACGGTCACTCATACTGACACCTGGCGTTACGGTCACTCATACTGACACCTGGCGTTACGGTCACTCATACTGACACCTGGCGTTACGGTCACTCATACTGACACCTGGCGTTACGGTCACTCATACTGACACCTGGCGTTACGGTCACTCATACTGACACCTGGCGTTACGGTCACTCATACTGACACCTGGCGTTACGGTCACTCATACTGACACCTGGCGTTACGGTCACTCATACTGACACCTGGCGTTACGGTCACTCATACTGACACCTGGCGTTACGGTCACTCATACTGACACCTGGCGTTACGGTCACTCATACTGACACCTGGCGTTACGGTCACTCATACTGACACCTGGCGTTACGGTCACTCATACTGACACCTGGCGTTACGGTCACTCATACTGACACCTGGCGTTACGGTCACTCATACTGACACCTGGCGTTACGGTCACTCATACTGACACCTGGCGTTACGGTCACTCATACTGACACCTGGCGTTACGGTCACTCATACTGACACCTGGCGTTACGGTCACTCATACTGACACCTGGCGTTACGGTCACTCATACTGACACTTTGATGTCAACGACAGTCAATTAGAACTATTATTTCCTGAAACAAAGTGTATAAGAGACTGTAGTGCACGTGAGGAGGAGGAGGAGACGCCCCTGGTGACACACTGATCTTCACAAGACACTTGAAGGAACCTGCAGTACCTTAACTCCCCCCCAGAGTCCTCCTAGTCCCCCTGAATACTCCCGGGAGCGCCGCGATACGTCCACCCCGCCACACTGCCAGGCCACAACTGACAGCCTCTCATGCTCCCACCACCCGCCAGCCGCCCCCGTGACGTCACGCACCCCGCGTGACGTCACGCTGGTCGCCTCACACACCTTTCTGACCCGGAGACCAACCGCCCTCCTCAACCGCCCCCTCTAAACTAACCACCTAAATCTACACAATTGCCCATTAGCCCGCGGATGCGTCAATACCGCGGTGCTTCTACTTTCCCCCCCCCCCGCCTCAAAGGCTAGAATTTTGACGATGCCTTCAAGAAAAATAAAGCGTTTGAAATGCGGTGGGAGCGTTAAGTGTGAGGACAGGGGTGCGCAGACCCGGTAGTTCCGCCGCCGCGCAGGCCGCGTGCACAAACGTCCACGAAGAAATCCACAAGGGCCGTGACGAGGATTCGAACCTACGTCCGAGAGCATCCCAGACGCTGCCTTAATCGCCTGTGCTACGACATGGTGAAAGAACTGCAAACGTCAGTTGAACTCCCGTCTGCAATTATTTTACCATGTCGTAGCTCAGTCGATTAAGGTAGCGTCTGGGATCCTCTCAGACGTAGGTTCGAACCCTCATCACAGCCCTAGTGAATTTGTTTATTCATGTTGACATTCCTTCCTCATCATGAAACCGGCCCCGTTTCCATGAGCAAGGGGGGTTGCAAGGCCCCAAAGCCCCCCTTCTCCCCTTACTTTACCAACACTATTACCCTTGCACGATAACCAAGCCATGCAATACCTTAGTCAACAATGTGAATACTGATTATAATGAATGCGACTCATCATGTATCACACACAGGAAGGCAGACGAAAGAGCGTGTGCAAATTAAGTGCAATCATGTCATTAACCCAACCGGTGGTGATTGGCCTCCTCCGGCGGCGGTGGTGGCCCACTTAACCTCAATATGAACCTCTCCTGAATAGTCGGAATTTATGCAGAGGCCTGGCAGGGTTGGGGGCTGTGCACAGTTGTGGGTGGGCAGGGTTGAGGTTGGGCAGGGCAGGGCTACCCAGCCTCAACCATTGCTTACCTGCAATGTGTATACTCACCAACTTCAAATCTCATTTGAGGCAAAGTGGCGTAAATAAGCCACTATTCACTGAACAGTAATTTATTTCCTCACTTCATGATGTTCCAGTGTGATGTTCCTTCTTGTATACTGTGACGATAATCTCCTTCAAGAGATTGAGCCTGCTCTTCCCTCCAAAATACGTCGATATAAATCCCTATACAACTAATATGGAAGAAATATCCAACAACGACAACATCATCTCCAAGGTTTGCCAGAGAGCAAAACGTATGCAGCCAGGAACACCTGCTCCACCTCGAACCACCAAACTACCTGTCTTGTCGCCTGCTCATCGCTGATTGGCTGCGGGCTCCTGATTGCGCTGATTGGCTCCACCCACCACACTACTTGATGTCTGGGGCCACGCGACCACCAGATCTCAGAATATCCAGTGCTTTCATCAGGTTAACACGTCTCGTTGGTAGACTAAGCTGTGGCTTACGTGTACTAAGAGAGGTGATAGCTTAAAGCCAATATTCCTGCACCTCTTATTTGATTGTATATTGCTCACTTGTTATTACTCACTTGTCTTAACGTAACTTTTCATTTTGTCATTTGATTATTCTTACTATTTTGATTGATTGATTTTATTATACGAATTTGTATGTCCATTTTATTCATGTTTTGCTTTTCTAACGTAATTAAAATTTCATTGTTAAATTTACTTGTGTTTTGTGTGTCTTCTCATTACCTTACCACAGACGAAGTTCCAGATTTTCTATTTTTTGTTTCTATATGTGACGAGGCCATACCCCTAGCTTTTGAACAGCCGAACACCAACGCGTTACCGTCACAATACCAATACCGCACTTCAGCATCGCTGTTAATGGCGAATTCGCCGCTGACAGAACTCCTTGCTGATGCGGGGTTCCCCACCACCACCACCACCGGACACTTTAGGCGACAGTCAAACTATACTGCTTCACGCTGCCCCGTCCAAGACCCGTCCGCTGAGGTTGAACTGCTGCTCAAGATGACGATATTAGACTATCGCCAGAGAGGACAAGTCTGGCCATGGTAGTTTCCTTACTAAATCACGATATCAGCTTGCAATTATAGCCAGACTTACCCAGAGTTCAACACTAATTAGCAAACAATGCTGTGACTAACGATATCACAAGAGTACGATAACCAAACATACCTTACCCAACACGATACCTTAACCAGACTTAATGTCAGAAGACGATGACGCTCTGGCCAGTAACTGGATGGGTGTCAACATGGACAGCCCTGACATGAGTTAGGGACACACTTCGAATGGTCTGTTAGTCATAGTGTCCCTAAAAATTTAAAATCAAACCATGTATTAACCTAAAAAAAAATCCGCGGATGATAACCACCCTGGAAACACAAACCTAAATTGTCTATTTTCCGCTTATTAAAACTTGTAATAAAGTTGTTACATCTTGGCTTAACATGTTTATGACGTATTAGAACGTTGTTACAACTTGCTATAATGGTTGTTATAATTGGTTAGGTGTTAAAACTTGTTTGAACGTTGTACCAACGTCGTAGTTTCGGTGTGTTTGGCGGGCTGCACACACTTTTAACCCCGTAATATGAGCAGCGCTCACTAACCAAACATTAACCATGCCTTAAGCCACATGTTCACCAGCCAACAATAACCTTAACCCATAACCACCAAGCTACTTCAGTAGCTGGAGTTATCACTTCGTTATTACAGGAGTGGAACTACGCCGTTAATGTTAACTCTGAAGTACGGTGATGGAAGGCCAGCGACGCCGGAAGGCCAGGAGGAGCCGGAAGGCCAGCGACGCCGGAAGGCCAGCGACGCCGGAAGGCCAGGAGGAGCCGGAAGGCCAGCGACGCCGGAAGGCCAGGAGGAGCCGGAAGGCCAGCGACGCCGGAAGGCCAGGAGGAGCCGGAAGGCCAGGAGGAGCCGGAAGGCCAGCGACGCCGGAAGGCCAGGAGGAGCCGGAAGGCCAGCGACGCCGGAAGGCCAGCGACGCCGGAAGGCCAGCGACGCCGGAAGGCCAGCGACGCCGGAAGGCCAGCGACGCCGGAAGGCCAGGAACGTTTGAATTCCTTCAGCAAGCGAGGCCAAGGCTATATTAGCTTGGCCCTCCTGCAGGACGCTCCTGAATTTCCACCACGCTAATATTGCACTACTTCTCTTCCTTCCTTCCTTCCCGCCCTCCCTCCTTCCCTCGCTCCTTTTCGCAATCCTCCTCCTCCTTCACCCTGCCTCATCCTACCCCCCCCCCCCCCCGACTATGCCTCCCCCCCCCTCCCTCTCCTCTCACTAAACGGCTGTAATTTGCATTCTCCAGTAAACAACCTGGAGATATTTAGATAGCCAGGAGATGCACTTGGCACGAGGGCACGAGAGGCGGGGAGGCGTTATACTGGAGGAGCCGTGCACTGGATCACGCTGCAATTGCAAAGTGCACAGTATTGCAGCTGGGGGGGGAGGGAGGGACATGAGCTGTGCACAGGAGGTTCTATGCACGGCATGATCTACGGCTGGCAAGATGTGCGTGCACGGGAAGGTCTGTGCGTGCACGGGAAGGTCTGTGCGTGCACGGGAAGGTCTGTGCGTGCACGGGAAGGTCTGTGCACGGCATGATGTGAAGCGTTTAGATCTGGACGCGTTTATTTCACGTTCTCCTTTGAGCACTGTGAGAGATCAGCTAGTTATATACCCCCCTCATTCCAACACCTTGAGGGGAAGGGGGGAAGATTGATGGAACGTCTTACAATGGGCCTCCCTGATGTTGACAGTTCTCTCTGAACGTACCTAATGCATTCACCTAATGCCTCCTGGCCCCTCTGCGTGTCTGCCGAACCTTCCCATCGCTAGTGTTATCTTAGTCCTTTGGCAGGAATTGTATAGTCCTTAAAATGGTTAGTTTGTGGCGGTCTGTCAGCTCCCTCCCCCCCTCCCTAGTCTGTCAACTAGCAGTGAATGTCTGTATTGGGGGAGGTGTATACTGGGGGGGTGGGGGTATACTGGGGGGAGGTGTATCCTAATTATACTAGAGATAGAATGGGCGACAGATATACACAGTGAATCGAGACCCTGGTGGCCGTTAAATAACTGATTGAAAACTGTTATCGTAATTACTAAATATATTGTGATAACGGGATAAGATTGTGTATTGATATACGTCACTGTGTTGACCGTGACTGCTTACATTCTGAGCGCGGGACGTGAGCGCGGGACGTCAGCGTGGGACGTCAGCGCGGGACGTCAGCGCGGGACGAACATCGCTGCATTTCAGTGTTCAATGTTCCCAGGAAGGTGCAAAAGTTATACATTTGTGACGATACCTTTTTTCAGAGGAACTCATTATTATTCATATGTGCATTATTCACACATCAGTCAATATAATAATCTCCTAATGAGCAGTATATAATTATTCCCAATGTGTCAACCGGAAATCCACCGAGTTGGACACCTTTAAAATGAACAATGAACGACGAGGAACAATTATTCAACCGGGACCCAAGAGCTGAAGCTTACCCTGAGTCAACCGAGCGATTGACCAAGCTGGGAAATCAACGAATGGCAAACAATGAACCTGTTTCTCTACAATGAAGAAGGTCATTGTTCTCTCCAAGCCCAAGAGAGACCGCCCATGACAGCCAGTAGTATCTACTGAACTTGGCTGAACCAGCCAGGTCCAGTAGTTACCGTCAAGGACAAGGTGCAGAAGTGGCTCACACTCCAGCTTACCACACCTCCAGGTTTGGAGAATCTTAACAAGGTCTTAAGTACTCCAGGTAATGTTGAATTGATGCTGTTACTCTCGAGAGTATTCGGAGTGGATTCTGGGACCCGAAGAAAACGTGGACACGGGGTGCGGCGGGAGTTCTCATTCCAAGGCCCAGCATGGGTCCAGGGGTCGACTTGTGATAACTTGGTCCAACAGACTTAATGGAGCCACCGGCAGGCCCACCCATCCACTACAACCTGG